GCTGGTGATCTGCAAATGCAGGGAGGGAGCGATCTCTGCTGCAGGGGGAAGGAGGGGCTGTCTCTCGCTGTCGGAGCCCAGGGGGAAGTCCAGACATTTAGAAATTCCCCCCGGACGCTATTTTTAGCTCTAAAATCCGGACATGTCCGGGGGAATCCGGACGAATGGTAACCCTATTCATAAGTGACTTTTTTTTTTTTTAATTGCTTGTAACTTTTTCACACCCAAACATACTTTCTAAACTGGAACACTCCAGAATGAGCCCATTGACATTACGCATCAGATTTCAAGGTTCAGCCATTTTTGTCTTCTCCATGTGAAAAGTGGGTAGCAGCAATCAGTTCTACAATGGGGATACGTATTTGGGGCTTTTGCATAACTGAATGGATTTTCCTTCAGCGTCCAAACTCTAACTTTGGACATTGTGGGAAATGCCCGCTGCACAAGAGAATTTTTTGAGAAGTCTGATTGAAAACAAGGGGTTATAATTAAAACCACTTGGCAACCTTAACTATAGTGTTTGCTACCAACCTGGTACTACAACAAACATACAGACAAAAGGGAGAGACATTAGTGATCTTGGATGCCCAACTTGAGGTGCTTTATATGTGCCGGATTTGCAAAGAGTCGAGCGTATTATGGCACCTAAAATCATTAGTGACATCTGGAAATCTTGGCAGCGCTGAGCTGGCTAAGGGCTGGCAGCAGTGGGCTGGATTTCGAGAAGGGAATATGAGGAAAATCTTTGCAAGTGAGATGTCCTAGGCTTGGGAATTCCCAGGGGAATTACTGGGAGGCCTGGCAGCTGGGCCAGTCAAGGCTAGAATGGATGAGATGTGGCAGAACATCTCCCATAGGGAGTACACTGTGTTGGCAAAGGCTGGACTGGATGATTTAGCATCTGTCTCCGATTTCCAGGACTGATTAGCTACAGGCTGCACTAGAGCATTAGGAGTGGAAGTGGTTGGAGGTGTCAGTCCAGCTCCCACTCGCCCACACCCTGTTTACCTGTTTGCATGTCCCTAGGCCTGGCCACAGGAGGTGACTGAACCACCACTGTGCCTTGCAGCTCCCTAAGAAAAGCTGCATCAGGAAGGGAGGCATGAGGGTTTAGCCTGTACTAAATAAAGTTAGAAAAATAGCTGTCTGGGGCTGGGTGGCACTAGTGTGAAAGGCGCACCTTGTCTGCCGGGAGACAGCGTCGGAAATAGGAGGAACAGAGGTTGTGTTAGCTGCTGCTCTGGCAGCAGAGGGGAAATCTGTTCTGCAGCTCCTCCTCCCCTCCCCCCCCTACACACCATATTCCATTTTTTAAAAGGGACTGAGTCAATTTAAGACTGGCTAGAGCCAGGCGTGATGCAGGCAGAGATTGTGTAAGTCCCCTCTGCACAGCGTAGCCAGTGTGCCATAGTCCTGACTGGCAGCACCCTCTTCTATTCCAGTCCTGGGCCCTGACCAGCCAGGCTGCCAGTGCACCACAATCCTGACCTGCAGCACCCCCTGCTACTCTGGTCCTAGGTCCCTACACACCCCTGCCAATGTATCTCTCCCGGCCATTCCAGTCCCTGTGGAATTGAGGCTCCTAATCATGGCAAATGGGGTGGGGGTGGTATTTGTGGGGTGTGTGCAAACATCCACTGGGGGCGACTAGGGTGAGACGAAACTCCCCTGTTAGCTGCAGTACGTCAGGATTGGAACCCAAGGCTCAAGCAGCGGAAGACACCCACCCCCGCCCCCAGTGTTAACTCTCTGCTCATTCTCTCCTGGTGACTGTCCCTTTCTGTTGGCCCTGCAGGATTCCTACAGAAAGCAGGTAGTCATCGACGGAGAGACCTGTCTGTTAGACATCCTGGACACGGCGGGTCAAGAGGAGTACAGCGCCATGCGAGACCAATACATGCGGACGGGGGAGGGCTTCCTGTGCGTCTTCGCCATTAACAATACGAAATCCTTTGAAGATATTCACCAGTACAGGTCAGTATCCCCTGCAGAACTCTTCCCGTATGGCCAGGGCTGCTGGGCTGCCTCCCATTTTAAAGGGCAGGCCTGGCTGGCGTGCTGTGCCGCCTGCCAAGACCAGGCGTGTATGCTGTGGGAGCGCTGGCTGCCAGCAAAGACAATTACCTCAAGCAGCCATTCCCCAGGGAAGGGAAGAAGCAGGCGGCTAATGTCAGTGGCTCTGAGAAAATCCATCCGCGGGGGATTGCTGGTGGTCTTGGGGGACTTGGTAATGTAATGTTTAAGTGTTTACGATGACTAAAGAGAGAGCTGATCCCTTCCTATCCCCCTCCCTTCCATCTCTAATTAATGGCATTGCACTGTGAGTGAAACTGATCTCAGCAGCTCCTGCTGTGCAGGAAAGCTGACAGAGGAGGGGAGAACAGGCTCAAGGGTAAGGAGTGGCAGGGTGCCTGATAGGCAGGGCTGCTTCAGCCACTTACTAGAATTGCAGAGCACACAGCTAGGGAGAGGCCCTGAAGAGTGTATAATGTGAACAAACAAGACAGACAAAGGGGGGCAAGGTGAGTTGCCTGCGGTCACCCAGAAGATCAGTGGCAGAGCTGAGAGTAGAACATAGGTCTCCTGGCTCCCAGACTAGTGCCCTATCCACTGCACCAGGCTGCCTCTCCTGTTTTATGCCCAGACACCACACATAGTTTGGCGGTGGGAGGGACTAATGCACCCAAGGCGATGGCTGCTCTCTGGTTGCCACCCAAGGAGCAAGCGGCTGGCCCAGGCTGGCGAGAGTGTGATTTTTGTGGTGTGGCCCTGGCGTCTCACCGTAACCCAGCTGCCTTACACCTTCTCCCCAGGACGTTTTCAGGGGCAGGAGGGCTTTTTGGATGCAGCCAGCAAGCCGTCTGTTTGCAGTAGGAATTGCGGGAGGGGCTCTTTGTAAGCACATGTTTCACAGGCCTGGGAGCAGCTATTCCGCAGGCAGGCAGGCAAAGGAATGGGAAGCCCTGGAGCACGAGGCAAGGAACATGTTCAGCAAACATCTGGGGCAGTGAAAAGGTTTGTGGCTTCTTGGGCTCCCCAGGATCAGGCCCTCCTAGAAGGAAGTGCTGAGTGACCATGCTCCAGCCCTGAATGCCTAGCACAGTAGTATCTTTGACTGCTAGAAGGAGGTTTGCTCTGCAGGGTGGTGCCCAGCAGTCATTCATGCTGGATGACCTGGAGAGGCTGTAGGAGCTGGAGTCTGAAAGCCAAGCTGATAGAGTAGAACTGTTCAGACAGTGGCTGACGCACATGCACAAAGGGCTGCAGTTTGGTGCTCATGAAGGGGGGGAAGGGGGAGATAATGGTTACTTATGGGCTTAGCTAAGTAAAGGGTAGGTTGACACTGTGCAAGGCCTTAACAGCTCTGCCAGTGCACCTCAGTCCTGACCTGCAGCCCCTCTGCAATCCCAGCTCTGCCAGTGCACCTCAATCCTGACCTGCAGCAGCCCCCACTGTCCCAATCCTGAGCCCCAGCCCACAGTTCTGCCAGTGCAGTCCAGATCTTATTTGTAACACCCTTTACTATTCCACTCCAGCCAATGCACCTCAGTCCTGATTTGCTACCAAGGCCAGCCCTAGATTTTTGCCAGGGTCCTATAAGAAGTAACACTTCGCAGGCCTCCTCCAGCCCCTGTCCCCCACGTATGACCAGGTTCCCCATTTCTGTGAACCCATCACTCCCTCCAGTGGTGGTTTTTGTGCATCTGGAAGCCACCATCCCCAGCCTGTGGTGACCCCCATTATCCTTTGTACCACATCTCTTCGTCGTCATATTCCAGGGGTTCATGTGTTCCGGGGGGGGGGGGGGGGGGCGGGGGGGGGGGGAGCTGCGGTGGCTCTTGGTCTCTGCCACAGCTCCCAGGCAATGGGATCAGACAGGAGTGTGGAAGGAGAATCTGGAGGAGGGGGAATGGGGTGTGTATGTGTGCAGGGACCCTGGAAGACAGGATCCTGTGCACCTACAATGGCCTAAGGCAGCAACTGCCTGCAACACCCCTTGTTATTCCAGCCCAAGGTGTGTCTCTTTGAGTAGACGAGGCTGGTTATAGAGACCCTGATTTAGCACAGCACTTAAGCATGTGCTTAATTTCCATTGAAGCTGAGGAAAGTTCAGCACGTACATATGTGCCTTGCCGAACTGGGTCCATAGTGCAGTCCGTGGTTTTGCAATATGGACAAATGGGAACTGAGATGATGAGCCCGTTCACTTGTGAACGTCAGGATTTGAAACCCGGGCTCCAGGACTGAAAGGCCAAGAGGCCAGCGTGCTAATTCGCTGCTTCTCACCTCCAGGGGATTCTGAACATGTTGAATGAGTATCCGAACTTGGGGTGGAATAATGAGGGATTCACGATGCCTTGTTTGAGGGGGGAAAAAAGAGTGGCACGTGTGTAGCTTTTTATTTAGACTATACGTCTGTTCTCCCAGCGGGGCAAATAACCAAGGGGCACAGTCGTTGCCTAGGAAAAACACCGCAGAATCCATCAGCTCATGGTCCTGAGCATTCTCTCTCTCCTTGCTCAGTTCAGACTGGCAAGCAGATCCTAGCCAATGGCTGCGGCATTTGGGCTCCATGTTCATTGCTTTGCCTTTCCATATGAATGAGTGAGACTTTGTTCCTGCCCCGGAATAGGGGATGTTTCTGTGCCCCTGGACAGCTGCCTGGAGGCTCTGGGATTATGGTACTGAACCTGGCTGTAGTTTTGTTGCTGATAGAGGGAAGCTGTTCCCAGATAACCCCCAAGACCTTGTGACAGGTCAAAGCTAGGCACAGCCCTTGTTTATCCTGGAGCCAAAGGGGCCACTTTGGGCTGTGGGCTTTGCCTCTCATCCCCAGCCTTCCAATAACAAACATGCCCCACATAATCATTTTTAAAATGTACGAGATTGTCTTGGCTCCACAAAATAAATGGACAAAGAGTGGGATTTTCATAAAGCATCTAAATGACTTAGAAGCACAAATTCTGTTGACTTTCACTGGGGCTTGTATTAGTGGAGTGGAATTCTGTTCCTGTCCATTACAAGTGGCACGTGCTCTGCTCCCATGAGGAGCTCTCTGAAACTAGCTGCTGTTGTCATTGTGATAATGAAATGGCTCCTCCCCTGGCTTTTCCTCTCCTCACTTCGGCATCTCTGTCTCTGCAGAGAGCAGATCAAGAGAGTGAAGGATTCAGACGATGTCCCCATGGTGCTGGTGGGAAACAAGTGTGACCTTCCAGCCCGGACAGTGGAAACCCGGCAAGCACAGGACCTGGCCAGGAATTACGGGATCCCCTACATAGAGACATCAGCAAAAACCAGACAGGTAGGAGGAGAGATGGTTTAAAAATGTGAACCAATAGCAGTCCTCAGAGGCCCCCTTTTTGCACACCTACAAACCCCTATCTCCATGTGACCCATCTAAACATTCCGCTCTCAGCACTTAGTGTAGGTCCTACTCTATTTCTCTGTGGTGACAGTCACATTGGGTTGCGTAGGTTGGGGCTGGTGGGATTTCTGCACTGTTTTTTGTCGTCCGTCTCCTCCCTCACTCCCCCCCCCCCCCAAATCCAGGTAGGAATATCTCTGGTAATGCCAGAGATGGGGGTGTGGATACAGCATATCCTGAAAGCCCAGGGCTCTGGGATTGGTGCCTGGAGAGCTGCCCCAGCACCAAACAGCTAGACTTGTAAGGCTACACCAGCTTGTCTAGTTACCTCCTCTTCTCAGTGCTTCGTTCCATTGTTGTGGCTGTAAGAAATTGCCTAGCCAGCTCGGCCAGAAGGAACCTCCTCCTCTGCCCCGCCCCTCCCACAGCTGCCATCTGCCCCCTCCCTGCGTTGTGTGAGGAAACAATCCCTGAGCCTGCCCCCCCCTTCACGCAGCAGTTCTGTGAGCCCCGTGACTGACAGCAGCATGGCCGACGCAGAGCCCTGTTGACAGAGCAACATGCATTTGCTGTCAGGCAAGCAATGCTCCAGCTGCTAATTACACAGCGTGCTGCGTCTCCTCTGACAGCTCTGAAGTGCCAGTGAGCAGGGGAGTGAGCATGAATTAGAGCAGGCCAGCGCTGGCAGTGATTTACCGCAGTCGGGATGCTGGGATAAAGCTGCCAGGAAACCCATCTTGGGGGCTAGCTGGCACCTGGGCGAACTCTGAGTGATGGTGCTGGAGTGATAAATCCACGGCCGGATCTCTTCTCCTCCTCCCCCCCCACCCCCCCAGCCCTTTCCAAGGCTGCTACTTCTGTCCTGGCCGACCATGCTGGTTTGCTTTGTGATGATCCGATGCTGCGTCACAGCATGAAGGCCCATGTTGCGCCAATGCACAGGGATAGTGTATCTGTGCTGCACTCATCGCTGTGTTACACGAGTGCCTTGCAGGATTAAATGGGCCCCCCAGGAATCTGATTAATGCCACCCTTGCCCTACCCACAGCAATTCCCGATGGAGCTGTGTGTCACGGGTGCTAGGCCTAGGAGAACGCATGAGGTTCAGGGTTAGTGGCTACCTCTTCTCTGCCTCCCCTCTCTAAAAAGAAGTGTCTTTTGTCTTGCCTGCTCTTTCCCTAACTTCTTGGTGCCAGTGCCTGGAGATGGCAGGGGCGACCAGTGAATTATTGTGGCGGTCGCGTGCTGTGTAGATTCAAGGGGAGAAATGCCCATGGTCGGAGGAGTCAGTTGTCGCCTCAAGGCTGAATGTCCCAGCAGCAAATTCCTCTCCCTATCCCAGTGAGCCGGTCGAGTCCCCCGCACAGTGGGGGCTTGCCCTGTGTGTGAGCTCTGGAGGGGGTGGAATTTAATGCACAGGCTGGAAAGGCGTGGCCACAGGGTAGCTTGTGTGGAATGAGTCCGCACCTCCAGAGCACCTCCACGATTGGCACTAATGGGAGCTCTTGTTGGTAGTCTCAGCAGAGAGGCCTGGGGTTGAATAGACCTTCTTGCTGCTAGGTCCCCGCAGGCCAGGGCTGAGACACGCTGGCAGAGGGTGGTGGGGATGATGCTTGCCCTTTGGACAGAGGGAGGACTTGGTTGTTCAGGGCCCTTGATCTGGGACATTTGACCAGCACCCAACTCACGGGAGGGATTACAAAAAAAAGGGTTAAAAAGCCACCCACATGCTGCAGTTGGGTGGGTCCTAGGCTGGCATTGGCAGCAGATGGTTTCCAATGCACTTTTGTGCAGCTTCCCTGTGTTTATCTCCTAAATCTTCATCCTTAGGTGTTTTCTCAGGTCACTGACCCTGCAGACATATGTATAGAGAGACACACACGTATACAGGGGTTATCCCATCGCCCTAGAGAAGAGCTGTGTCTCCTTGCTGGAGGGAGGGCTACATCGGTAAATCCGAGAGGGTCACATGGGGCGTAGGGAGGGCTATGTGGTACATGAAGTCCATAGAATTAATGAACGCCTGCAGCCCCATATGATTTTAAATTGCACCTTGATCTTCACTCCCTTTGGTCCCGTAGCCTCTGCTGCTGGTCCCTTTTGGGGCCATGCTGCATGCCTGTCGGGTCAGTCTGCCTGGTTGTGAGGAAAACGCCCACAAGAAGTGGCTTCAGAAGGGCGAGAGGGCACCTATAACAAAGGGCTCTTGATTGCAAGCCCTCGGGGGCTAGCACAGAACAAGAAGAGGATCCTCTTGGGTGTGTGCTACAAACGAGCGCGTGCTCAGCCCCACACTGAAATATAAGAGAATGTGTTAACCAAACCCAGTCCATGGCTGAGTCCTGGCTTCTGGTTCAATCCGGAGGGAGGGACAGGAGCTTGTGCTCCTTGGCCCAACATGGTTTGCCCCTCAGTTTCCCCATGTGCGTGCCTCGGAGGCCGAGAGGGGTGTTACGGGGCTGGATGTTCAACAGAAGAGCGTTGATGTCTGCTGTATTGAAACAAAGTTTTCTGCAGGGCTGTGGGCTAGTCCTTACGTTCACCGCCTAGCTGTCTGATCCTGAGTTGTTTTGCTAACCTCCTCGTCCTGCCGTCCATGCGACGGGCACACGTTACGTATGGGTGCGGTTTCTGGGGGGAGTGCCCCTGGTTTGGAGGGTTAGAGATGGGAAAGAGGCAGTCGGCTCAGGGCTGTTAGTTCAAGTACAGTTTCTAGTGGGATGTCCACTCTCGTTTTAGGTGTCCCTAGAGATGGAGCCTCCATTTCCTTTGGTAGCCTGGTAGTTTTGTGCCATATTTTGCCAGGAGGAACCATTTCCTGGGATTCCTCTGTTGATTTCTTTGCAGTTTCATCCCTTTAACTCGAGTCAAACCCACTTAAACTACACTATGCAGTTCTCTGCAGGGGACTCCTAGTGGTCCCCTAGATCCATCTGCCCTCACCTCCACCCTTTTTCCGAGCGGCTGTGGCGCTCTTTGAGCAGAACGTTGTGCCTCTCTTCCAGGGTGTTGAAGACGCCTTCTATACCTTAGTGCGGGAGATCCGGCAGCACAAACTACGCAAGCTGAATCCACCGGATGAAAGTGGCCCAGGCTGCATGAATTGTAAATGTGTGGTATCATGACCAAGGTGAGCCCAGTGGGAGGGAGAGGGGTGTGCCAGAGATGGGTGCGGGCTGCAGCCAGGCGTTGCTGGAGGCAGGGATTCATTGACAATGTACCAGGCTGCAAAAAATGCAGGTTGAAATGATTTCATCGAACCTTTTTTTTCCCCCAACAAAAAAACCAGCTTATCGGCCAAAACAAACATTTCCTCAGAAAACCCTTGCTTTGGTCAACATTTTCTGGTGGTTTTTGTTTGTTTATGAAAAACCGAACAATTTTCATTTAAAAAAGCTGGATTTTTTTTGGTAAAGATTGTCAGTTTTAAAACAAAAAAACTGACAAATGTTTACTAAAAATGTATTTTTTCCTCTATTTTTTGTTTTTTCATTAAAGGGAGGGGAAAAAGCCACAATTTTTCAAAATTTCCTATGGAAAATAATTGGCACTCCCTCCTCCCCCCCCTCCAGCTCTAGCTGCAACTGAAGTCAGGTTCCATTACACCCCACCGCTACCCCCCTGTGGCAACAGCGGGGAGGTGAAGGAAGTGGGCAGCTCCGTGATTCCCTTGTACCCCCTCTCCCTACAGCAGTCTGGATAAGCGGGGCTGGGACTGCATTTCTGATTCGAAGTTGTTTGCAGTGCTGTTGTACCCGTGTTGGTCCCAGTGTGTGAGGGAGACAAGGTGGGTGAGAGGCAATCTCTCTCTCTCTCTAATTGGACCAACTTCTCTTGGAGAAAGAGACCAGGGCTGTGGAGCTCAAGAGCTTGTCTCTGGCACCAGCAGAGGTTGGTTCAATAAAACGAATTCCCTCACCCTCACAGCTAGGGCGGGAATTTACCTCCCCAGCTCCAGTGTAGACATGCTGCCAACAGTGTCAGGAAAGGGCTGTTTGCCTTTATAAATCATACTAGTCAGAGCCAGAGTTGGATGTCTGGCTTTCTTTTTTTAAACTTTTGATTAAGTAAAAGGGTCCTGTGGAATCTGGCCCCGGATGGCAGTGAGCAAAGGCTGCTATCAGCTCTCTGGCGGCCAGCATGGAATGAGCGTGGTGGATTTAGTCCACTTCCCATTGGCCAGCTTTCCATGTCACCAAAACTACCCTGGTAAGGAGACTTTCTTGCAGCAGTGTCAGCGGAGAGAGCAAGGGCTGAATGGGCCAGAGAAACTGACCTAGCCTCTTTCCCTGAAGGGCTGGGGTTGAAGTGTGCTAGTCAGGGAAGCTTGCACTGCTGCTGCCCCGATGAGCTTTCCCCTGGATAATAGAGGACTCCAGGCGCCAGAGCTGTTCCTCCATCGCCTTTAACGGTTCTAAATTCCCAGGGGAAAAGCTGGGATTATCCAGTTCCAGGAACTCCACTGAAGAGCGGCAGCTGTCTTCCTCCATTGCATCTCGAAGCACCGCCTCTGGCAAGGCTGTGAGCTCAGCAGAGCTTTTCCCAAGGCGCCCCCCCCCCCCCCCCCCCCTCTCTCTCTCTCTCTCTCTCTTTAAACAAAAACAGCGGAGTGCCCCGCCCTGCCCTGCCCCATGGCTCTCTGCTGAGGGGAGAGTGGATCCTGGACGGGATCTCCCAGTGGGACTGATCCTCGTGCTGGGCCGAGTGCAGCTATTGTTACGGGAGGTTTCCAGATGTTCAGATAATCCAGATGTTCGGAAGCATTTCCTCCGGATGGGGATACGAGTGGTGGGGCTCGTTTCCTGCTCTGGCGGTGATCGTTTTCAGCTGAAAGCACACACACAGCTCCAAACATCTCCTTAAACTACCATTCCTCTCTGCCTCACCAGGAGGGATTGTGCTGCTGAAGCAGGAGAGGGGCTGGCGTCTATCACGGACATGGACAGTCTTTCCAAAGGGGCCTTGAAAATGTTTTGATCTAACTATTCTGTGAGTTCCCCACATCTCAATGGCAATGAAGAGCCTTTGCCATTTCCCTGCAGTGACAGAAAACTGACACTTAAATACCGAGCGGACAGCAGAAATCCACACGATGCTGCAGGGTGTCTGTCCAGCTCTCTCTACGCGGAGGAAAGCGGAGCCTCTTTACCCTTATTTATTTGCAGTGCAAACCACAATACAGCTTTTAACTGGGAGAGCGTCTTTCTGACACGCTTTCCCAAAATGTTCCAGGGAATTGCATAATTCAGGGCAGCAGCCGTGACCAACAGCAGGGGAGTAAAATCAGAGCTGTATTATCAGTGAACTTTGCAGTGCCCCTGTGATGTAGATCAGGGGCAGTGCGCCCATTTTTATGATGAGTAAACTGAGGTACAGAGAGGTGAAGTGACTTATCCATGGTGCCATTAATCAGTGGCCAAGGAAGGAATTAGAACCTGGGCGCTCAGCTCCCTTTAGATGCAGTATCTGGTAAAGGCCAAGAGTAGAGGGGGAGTAAAATCAGAAGTGCTGGGAAAAGAGAGGCAAAGATGTATTGGGGGCAGCTGGGGCCTGGGAGTCGAGATGCCTGGGTTCGATTCCTGACTCTGCTCTTGCCTCACTGCGGCACCTGATTTGTCAGAGGTGCTGAGCACCCACAATCCCCCCTGAAGCCCGGGGAGCTGCATGTGCTCAGCTTCTCTTTGGCACCCAGCTGTGAACGTTTTAGACAGCAATATAAAACGTTTGCCTTGCCTGCGCCCCATCTGGGAGAGGAGATGCTGATATTTTCCCACCTTCGTCCAATAGGTGGAGATTTGTGGGTGGAACATGCCCTGCAAGGGTGCAGCACCAGCATGCTCCTCATCAACGTTAAAATGCCCCTTATCCATAAAGGCTGGAGTCTTGAAAGGTGCCTAAGGGAGTTAGGTACTCAAATCCCAGCATAAAGCCCCGTTCAGCCAAGTGTCTGCTTGCTCTCTTAAGCGCATGTTTAAAGTCAAGCATGTATTTTGCCGAGCGGGGGCTTAAACTCTCAAAAATGAACACGTTCTCCCAACCCCCACTCTCCAAACCCTGCGTAACATTTCGAGTTCCCTCTGCAGGAGGTAGTGGGAACTGAAGGGCTGGGTAGTGGCTAGCAGAGGGTAGCATAAGAATAGCTGCTGATTCTAGTTCCTCTTCCCCTTCTCATTTCAGTTGACCGGACCGTGACTTGGAGGGTTTCCACTGTGCGGAGCATGCGGACAGAGGTGAAACAAAAGAAGCAGCAAACTGATTCAGGGGAGGAGTATGGGGGAGGAGGGAGACCAGGAGGAGGATATCTTGAGCCCCGCACGGACTGTCTCAAACTTCATCAAGGCCTGTGACAAGCGACTTTTTTTCCCCCTCCCCGTCTCCTTTTGCCTCCTCCTCTCCCAGCAACTGTACAAAGCCACAGATTGAATCACAGTAAATTATTATTTGATGGTCTCGACAAATGGTCTCTGTGGCTCTGTCCTACTTCAGAGGTGGCTGCTGCTGCTGGTTTTTGTGGGTGGAGGGTGTGGAAGGTGGTGATGGGGGGTGAACTACTTCCTTGATTGGTTGAGGTTCTATTGGCAGCCAGCTGATTTGAAGGTGGCTCAGCTGAGCATAACCCATCTGTTCTGGAACCTGTCAGTGATTGTCCTGGAGATATGGGGCACCTCGGTTTTAGAAAAGGACGTGTGGTGTGAGGGCCAGTATGATTATCCCTTGGTCTCCAGAGAGATAAAACCTCTTCAAAGCTCCCCACCAGAAAGGTCCTATCCAGGGTTACTGCCAGCCTACAGCGGAGAGAGAATTAGGATGGTCATTCTGTGCCCAAATGGGCATGGGTGATTTTCTGGAAAGATGGTTGGGGTGAGGTTGGGATTTGAAGATAAAATATGGAGGTGCTCTGTTTATAGTAGGTCCTACATTAACTGAAAGTCCCCAATTCCCATGGGTTGGTTTGCTCTGATCATGTTTTGTGAGGTGTATGCTGCTCCAGAGACAGGAAGTTGTCTTTGTAACCACCATCGCTGCTTTAATGCTTCTCTCTCTCTTGCCCCTTCCTGGGAAGTAGGAAAAGTCCAGTGAATGTCTTTGCAGGGAGCTGAGTTTTAGTCTGGCAGGAGTTCACTGCATGCCTGGGTCTGCCCTCAGAGTGATGGGGGAATGATGCCCGTCAACATGTGCCATGTGATATTTCTGTGGGGCTGAGAAAGCTTGTATATAAATCACTGCTCTGCACCTGGTGGGTAGAGAGTGGGGTCGCATTTAATGTGAATTCTAAGCCTGGTGTTTTTCTGAGCCAACACCAGGATTTACTATGTGTTGCTTTCTGCTGCTGAGATTTGATTTCTCCTCCGTGGACACTTTTGAACAGCGGGAGCTGTTTCCATTCCCCAAAGTGTCGTGTTGAGGGGACGGGAGGGGGAAGAGTCATGGGAAAGTAATTGTATATACCATCTGCTCATCGATTTGGATGGGGCCCCTCTGCCATAGATGTGTCTGCGTCTGTTCCCTGCTAGCGTCGTCTTTGGCAGCAGCTGGCTAACTGTGACCCCTCTATGCCTGCACAGCTAGGATCTTGTGGCAGTCACGTATATTGCACATGTATGTAAAACTGACTGTACCTAGTGTGGCTAATTACAGGTGAACCAAGAGCAAAAGGAATCTACTTACTGTACTAAAGCTCCTCGCAAGACCCAAACCAGATGCTCAGCAACCACTGACAAGGTTAAAGGTCAGAGGTCCACAGCCACTTAATGTGGCTTTATGTGGCAAGAGGGGTTGTAGCTGCTCCAGTGTTGGACAAACCCAAGAGACGCATTGAAGTTATTAAATTTTCTTTCTCAGAGTGCTTTTGTTTTGTTTTCCTGTTCACCTGCTTGTCCCATCGGCGCGCCTGCTGGAGTTGCATCTCCTCTGATAAAGCTGGGTGCGTGCTTCAGGCAGCTGCTGTGTGCGCCCTTTGGGACTGAACCCAGGCAGGGTGTCTGCCTAGTTTGTCAGTGGTCCCAGCAGGGGATTCAGCTGGTGCTACTGAAGCACTCAGGAGTGGAATGAGATGATGGTGTCTTAAATTCCATGAGTGCATAAAGGCCCCTGTTGGCATTGCGGGCGGGGGGTGAAGTGGTGGTGCTCTTCCATGCTCTGCCCGCAAAATAAGCTTCACCCATGTCAGTTGCCAGGAGGAGCCATCACGCACCGTAAATTGTGCAGAGCTGTGACCCTCCCCTCACGTGAGGAGTGAAAGGAAACAATGCTGACGTTGGCGGGTATGTCTACACTGCAAAGAAAAACCTGCAGCACTGAGTCTGAGCGTGGGTCAATAGCAGTGTAGACATTCCAGCCAGGCTGGAGCCTGGGCCCTGAGACCCTCCCCTCTTGCAGGGCTTAAGAGCCCAGGCTCCAGCCCGAGTCCAAATATATATGGTGCTGTTTTTAACCCCACAGCCCAAGCCCAGCGAGCCTGAGCTAACTGAGACTTGGTGCCGCAGGCTTTTCTTTGCTGTGTAGATACCCAGTGGTGATAATTTAGAGTATCTGAGTTAACTCCTTGCTGAGATGATTGGGGCAGTTGAGAGCTCAGCACAGACCTCTCTGCATCTGTTACACTTGAGTCATGACTTGGAGGTGTTCTTTAAATCTCTAGATTTTATGGTTGCAATGTTTTCAAGTGAAAGTGGAGATTCAATATTACACGGCAGCAGCTTCAGCGAGGAACCGGTACACCCGACTGACTGAATCCGAGCCCCGAGGGCCCCACTCTGCAGGGTGCTGTACAAACGTAGGCTGTGTCTGCGAGCACTCAGGACATGCACCAGCAAGCTTTAATCTAGCTAGTGCAGCTAAAAATAGCAGTGATGCCATAGCTGCACACGCTAGTCAATGTACCCCGGATCCCAGGCAGTATTGTGCTCGGGTAACTAGCCCATGCCACAGCTGCTGCCACAGCTTCACTGCTATGTTTAGCTTTGCCAGCTAGATTAAAGCTAGCACAGTATGTCTGTATGGCTGTCCATCGTATCAGATGATGTCAAGGCATCACTTGTGTTCTCATGTGGCTAACGAGTCCGATGGGTGAGGGGGAAGGGGACAGACAGATATCATGTAGGAATACGCAGGCTCCCATTGAAGACTTGGCATGAGGTTGGCCGCTTTTTTTTTAATCCATTTTTCACATCTGCCTTCCTCAAAGTGTTTAAAGCCTTTATTGATAGTTGCTCTCCATGGGGCTGTCTTCGAAGTAATCGGTATTTAGGCTGCATGAGGTGAGATTCTGCTTACGGGGGTGTCTGAAGCCTTTTCGTTGTCCTGCTGTGCTTTCCGAGTTTCAGCTCACCAGGGAAAACTTTTTTTTAGGAGTCTGTCGTTGCCCAGTCTGACTACGTGACCTGTCCATCTAAGAAGAACTTTGCTGAACATTTGCCTCGATGCTGGTTGTTTTTGCCTTTTTTCAGGATGTTGATATTGGCGACTTTGTCTTGCCAGTGGATCTTCCAACTAGAACGGAGACAGGACATGGAAAATATTTCAAGTTGCTTAATGTGTCTGTGGTCAACTTTCCATGTTTCACGTCCATTAATCAAAGGGATGCTAGCACTGCTGCATTGTATATCCTCCGTTTTGTTGCCTGTTTGATAGTGTGCCCACCTGTGTGGCAATCACACCTCCTGAATGCTGTGCAGACACAGACACAGAAGCTATGTCCAAGGCCCCCTACCCTGAAATGCTTATAGACTAACCAGACAAGACAGACAAAGGGTGGGAGTGGAAACGGATGTGGAGTGATTCACCCAAGGACACCCAGCAGGTCAGTGGCAGAGCTGGGAATTGGAACCTGGGTCTCCTGAGGCCCCAACGAGTGCCTTAACAACCAGACCATGGTTTGTCTCAAAAGACTGGCTTCCTTTTATAGAGACGAATGAACAGCTGCCAGGATTCGGACCAGACTTTGATAAGAAAAGGGAGAGGAAGTGTGTCGTCTTAAACCTTTGATACAGAGGTTGGGAATAATTTTAACACACCTTCAAAAGAGAAGTCTGCTGTCGTCAGTGACCAGGCCATGTCAAAGCCCAAGCTGGCGCGTGTGCGATGCTCTCTGGCATTTGTGCCAGCTGATGATGTAGGAATCCTGCCCATCAGAGTGAAATCTTACCTGATTTTAACCAAGCACCTCCCTCCCCCCCCCTTTCCCTCTCCCCCCCCCCCCCCCCCCGACAGGACGAGATAAAGCGCCATGCTTCAAAACTGGCTTGAATTGCAGATAGCTCTGGGAAGTCGCAAATGCAGCTGTCACGGAGTCCTGCAGCTTTGATGCTGGACTCCTCAGTCTGGGCTTGCTCCAAAGCCATTTGAAGTCAGTGAGAGTCTTTCTACCAACGGCTGTTGGCTTTGGATCAAGCCCTGTGCCAGGCACATACAGTGCAGCATCAGGGAGACAGACTGGAGGCACCACGATCCATCGCTGTCCTACCAAGCAGCCGGTTGGAAGACTTTGTGCTCCTGGAGATGGTGCCCGGCAAGTGTGCCAGCCTCTTGCCACATCCCAGCTTGGGGTAAGCTGGTGTTCCAGGGAGTGTTGATGGGTGTCTGTCTCCTTACAAAGAGGAGGCATTGGGTCCTGCTTCACCTTCTGCATGTGGCCTGCATGGGATATCATCCGGCTCTGTCTCTGAGCTACAAACTTTCTGGAAATGGAATTATGCTGAGCTGTGCTGTTTCTGGGCTGGCTTTGCATTTCACAGGGACGCTGGCAATGGCGCCTGTAATTCCCTGCAGGGGAGGGATGGGATGGATGGTGGCAGCAGCACTGGGACTGGGCAAGGGCTGTAGGGGATTAAAAAGCAGTGGTGTTTTTAGAGTGTGTATTTTTCGTGGTGTCCCAGGTTAGTGAAGCTGGGAGGGAAGGGGGTAAAGGGGGTTTACTAATCATCTAGGAATTATTCCCCACCACTCCCATGTGCAAAGGGGGAATGACACACACTAGCCCATCATATTCTCTCCACCACGGCAGCAGGGAATGAGATTGTGGGGCCTTTCCAGGTGCATGAGATGCCTGCATTGTACCCTGTGTTACTGGAAAGCCTTAGGTTGCTACAGGCCAAATCCGGGCCTTCTGTCCTCTCTGGAGTGTGAGCAGAGACAGAATCCCAGGGAAATGTGCTCTGGTTTGTTTGGTTCCTGTTTCCCCAACACTGGGTCCGAGGAGTTGGGGTGATGACTAATTAGCCATTTGCTTTACCCTGCTGATGCTGGGCTGGGGAGTCAGGGGCATTGGGGGTTCGGGGTGGTGGTGGTGGTGAATGCTGGTGCAGAGGGAAGGGTTACCCAAGGAGAGTGAGTTCAAGGTGGAACTGTGACTTCCTGGATCAGCTTGGGCCCTCAGAAGCCTGACAGACTTGGGTCCCACCTTACAACTCGGTATAGTGTGCAGACCCCTTGGAGAGCAGCTGCAAGGACTCG